TATATATAATATGTATTGACAGTTGTTGTTGTTTTTTTTTTCCCAACTTGCGGTTGTGAAGCCCTGCGCTTCGAAACTACTCTTCATCCTGCGACCGTGCAAGTGTTACAGGCCAATGTGGTTTTGTCTGATTTTTCAAGCTTCCCAGTTCAATAGCATGTGATCTAGAGAGCTAAATACAATGGCAAAGAGCAAAGCAAACCTGGAGCGCTTCGTGATCACAAGCACTGAGGACTTGAAGAGAGAGTCTCTCTCGGAGTGTTCACATATGCGCAAAAAATGCTGAGTCACTCTGAGTCTGTTTAGAAGGCTGAAAAGGACCAAGTGTGAAAACACCTTTATTCATAATACCACAGAAAGGATGCACTGCAGTAATGGGAGACAGAGAGATGCTCTGTGGCTACAAATTAGGTGGGAAGAACATGACCGACTTGAAATGACACCACGCTGCTATTTATGCCACGGTAAGTTAGCTAACTGTAACGTTACATGATAAGTCCTAACATTATCTAGGCATACGATGTCGATTAAAAGACCAAAAATTAAGATGATAAAAGTGAATAACATTTGACTATTACTAAAAAGCATTTTCGTATAAAGACTGAGACTAAATCTAAAGTAGCTCAAACACTTAGCACTGCTGTAGAGGTGCCAGTTAACGTCCTGGGCATTGTCAATGTGCCCTTGAGCCAAACCCCAAAGTGCTAGCAGCGCCGACTATGTGGCAGCCCCCTCGTTCTGACGTCTCTCCACTCATGCATATCTATAGACCCTGTGTGTGCATGTGTCAACATGTAAAAACTGAATTCCCCCATTTTCACTCTCTGATTTGTAGTTTTGACAGTCCGGCTTTTACACCAGAGACTGCAAAGCGCTGTTTCAAAGACAGAGCTGCCACTCATCTGAACATAAACACAGAAAACACACATGTATCAAACGCTGTGCTCAGCTCATTAGTCATGTGTTCTGACAGGTCTGTCAAACAGTCACTGAGGTCTGTGTGTGAATGTGTCTTTGTACGCCGTGTATATTTGGACAAACCAATATGATCTAATTACTGTTGACTCACTACTGTGTGTGTTTTGGGAGAGAGCTGGACAGCAAAATGAAACATGCCCTGTCTGACACACACACACACACACACACACACACACACACACACACACACACACACACACAGACACTTACCGCATCCTGAAAGCACAAGTATTGTCCACAACTCTGAGATATTGCCTTGTTCTTTGCATATCCCACTGAAAGACAAAAGAACAGTGTATGCTTATGTTGCATGTGTATGTGCATGTGTGTGTGTGTGTGTGTGTGTGTGTGTTCTTGCATTCGTATATACCTCTGTGTGCTAACTATTTCCATTTAGCCATGTGTTAGTAATTATCATGTTCAGCCATTAAACATTTCATTTTCTAAATGTCAAACCAAAACATGCAACAGTCATATGCATGAGATCAGTAGCCCGTCACAGTGATCACCATGCCGTATTATTTTTGTCAAACACTACTGGTCCCTGGATCATCAGAGGAATATGAAACTAAACTTTAAACTACTAAAACTAAACATCAAGCTTCTGAACTTTGTGCCAGAACAAAACACTTCTGATGTTTAATCTTGTAATGGACATGCTGCTCGTTTGGGAAGCAGTGGCATTTTTGTGCGTATAGTGTTAACAATCCTGGAATTGAAGCCCATGTTGCTGAGAAAGATGTTTCAGCATATTGCTGTTGTTTCCATCTTTACTTGAAGTCATCATTTCACGGACATTACAAACAGGACAGTTGTCATCTGTCTTCATAATATGAAGCCACACTTTGGACTGTTTCTTCTTCTCTACCATACATTGAGACACATACGATTCTGATGGGGCAGACGATTCGGAACCGGTTCTTGATTCCCATGCTTTACTCTGACAATACACAGAGCAGGTTAAAACTGATGTAACACAGAGGGGCCAATTGATGCAGATATGCAAGTCTATAAAAATGTTTTTTTAGTAGAAATGTTAAGGAAGACACTTTGTTAGAAACATGAATTTCAACATGTCAGCTGTGTTGACGGCAAAGGCACAACCTCATTTATTTTCAAGTCCAGATCAGGATCTGCAGGATCTGAGATCTCACTTCTAAAATCAACTGGAAGCCACATGCCAATATGTCACATATTTTACTTGGATCTCAAACGTATGTTACTCATTTCTTCAGCTCGCTGCATTGTTGAGGACATATTCTTAACTCAAGGTCCAATTACAAGCTTTTATTTAGTTCTCACTGCCTTCATGGCAACATACTTAATACATTCTAGAAACAGAGTCTGTGAACCCCAGACTGGTGACAGAATATAGTGTCACAGTCTGGGGAGTTATCAGCCAAAGTATGTGAGACACAGTTATAAGCTCTTGAACTGACCCGCATCAAGTTCTTCATTTAGCCTTTCTGGCTTCACATAGAAAATTAACTGCTGACATCATAATTTGACAAGAATGGATGAGCAAGCACTCCATTATCTGTATCTGTTCAATCAGATCAGAAGTTGCCATTTTAAGCCTGAATTGATATTGCTATATTTATTATTTATTGGGAAACTATTTACAGAACAGCCTCAGGATTGAGCTTCAGATCATTTTTGATCACAAGAGTGAGGATTTTCCTTTATTACGTGTACAGATATTGACACATTTAACTCTGATTACATTAACGCTCATAAAAAGTAGGCCTACATCATCTGCACTGGATACTTGTTTCATCCAAATATTCGGCTCAACCCTATTGACAAGATAATCTAATCGGCACTGGGAATTGTTTGCTGATCAGCAACCTTAAAGTTTACTGACCTCCTCTGGGTTTTGCAGAGTCGTGGCCAGAGATCGTGACTGTGATGCCCCTCGCCTCCAGCCTCTCCCTCCAGCCCTCCAACACTTTCCTGGACTCATCCTGAAAGACATAAACACATACACACAGGTCTCATATTTTGAGACAAATTACACAAATGTGTGTGTAAATGTACAAACTAACAAACAAACAAACGTACGGTGCTTGCATCGTCAAAGACAGAGAGCTCCATGGTTCCAGTGAAGTCTTGGTGTAATATGGCCTGCAGACATTCATCCAGCCAACAGGATGCATTGTACATTGGCATGACAATACTCTGAGCACAATAAACACAGAGAGAGTCTACAGTCAATGCAAATACTAGATCATGTGAGGTCCTAATTTCCCAGAACAACTCTCATTCAGGTTTCTACAGTAAGCCTGTATTCTCCTTCAGCTCAGTACATTCACGTTGGCTGTGTATGGGAGAGAGCCAGTCTGTCACCCACCACATTCACTGCTCTTCTCTCCTCCTCCTCCTCCTCCTGCTGCCCTCCTGTCGGGGTGTCTGCTTCATCTTCTGTGGTGCGGAGTCGCTTTGGTGGGTTCATGTTCACCTCTGAGTCCCCGTACCCGGAGAGTCCGCTACTGATGTGGGCAACGACACAACCGTTAGCCGACGTCTGACCTCGATTATCGGATGTAATAAATGTCTGAAAACAACGAAGGTAAACCGAAAAGACAGCCTGTGACGATGGGCAGTGACCCACGAGGGCTGCACGTGAATGAAAATGTCCGTTAACAGTCATTTATGAACTGTCAGCCATGTAAAATGTTTCCCCGTCAACAAATGACGTCTCTTGAAAAGTGTTGTGTACATTTTAGTGACGGTCAAAGTCACATTTTTAGTAAAACGTGTAGCCCAAACTCACAGCGTGGATAACAGCTCAATACTTCCGGAAACACTGAGCTCCTGACGCTCATTGGCTCGTGTAAAACACGGACAGACACTTGATTGGCTGTATCTAACCGTCATCGTCTGGAACAGTGACGTCAGCGACAGTGTGTAAAACAGCTTTTTGACTGGAGTAAAAAGCTATCGCCACTTTCTGGAGCTTGTAGGTGAAGTTAAACAATATTACGACTGTGAAGGTTACGATTAAAACAACTTGGTCAAACACTGAGTTTTATTTATGTATCATAAGTTTGGTTTTGGTGTGATTTTATTTTTGTACAGGTGAAAATAACTGCTGTAACTGTATTCTGTTGCAAGTAATTGCTAGTAGTTTGAGTGCAATGTTGATTATAGTGTATTGCTTTGTTATGGAAACCAGAAAGTCTAGGTAAGTCATTGCCAAGTTAACAACTAATGTTGATAGATTGTAATAACAAAAAAAAAAGTTTTTTCATTTACAGATTTTAATTACATAAATGCCTATGTGAATTATTTTGCATGTATACAATCAGCATGTTTATAAACCCAAATGAGAAAAAATACATAGATAATGTAACACTCAGTGGATCCCCAGCTGGGGGAATATAATAGAGTGATAAAACTAGGGATGTCAAAGGTTAACTGCTGAGAATAATTTTAACAGGTTACACAAATGGTCTGTTGGTTAATTTTGCTACTGTTCAGTGTAATAGTAGTACTGGTGCTAAGCTGTACCACATTAAGAACAAAGATAAGGTATTCTTGCTACTCTGATAAGCAGGGCCACGGGGAATTTGCCCCGACATAATTCTGATGACATCTGCACAGATTGTATCAGCTTTGACAGAGAGAGAAAAAAAAAAAAAGATTTTCATTGTGGATCACCACTGAAAATTGTAAAAAAAAATAAAATAAAATAAAAAAAAGACAAAAAAATCTACAGATTCCATTTGGGTCTGCTGATTAGCCAGTCTTGACCACGCTGCACTGTGTACAGGTTGGGAGCAAGCTAGCTCATACAGCGATTACCTTTGGTAACACTTTAACTATGTTATCATTGTTAATTCTGTTAGCACCGTTGGCAGGGTCAACACGGCTAGTGGTGTTAACACATATTGGTTAACAATGCTAAAAGGGTTTTACGGCTCAAAATGAAGCCGCTTGCTCACCTGGGCAACCTGGGGTCAGACTGGAGGATGTCCACAATGTTTTCGCAGCAACACCATCCCTCAGTGGTTACTGCTGAATGAGGGGCGCTGCTCGTTACTGCCCAGACTTGTTGAGATGGTGCGCAGTGCATAACAGCCAAGGCCAGATAACTAATGGAGATCAGTGTTAAGTGATAACTGCTGGTGGAATACGGAGTGGGAGCCCAAGAGACGAGATGGTCATTACCTGTCCGAGAGTAGAACAAACAGGATTGAATGAAACTCTCCATAGATGAGGTAAGCACCCTATTTACACACTTTAATGAACAGAAAACTGTTAAACATGTGCTAAAAGACTGCAACAGTTATGATGAAGAAAGAATGGAGTTAATATACGGCCTAACTGAAGATAAGCACAGTATTACATTGGGGAATCTACTAAAAAAGATATCAAGGGAAATATGTAAGCTTCTAAGTGATTATTAAAGAGTAATAGGAATAATAGAGAGAATTTATTTATTTATTTATTGTTTTATGTATCTCTTGTTTTACAGTTTTGTTTTCCTGCCAACCAACTGCTTGACACTCCAGTCCAGTAGGTGGCGGTAATGCATCTAAAAGCTGGTTCGCCAACCGCCATTAAACCTCGAAGAAGAAGGAGAACACGAAGAAGTAGTAGACGAAGAAGAGGAGGAGGAGGAGGAAGTCATGTATGACCCAAACAAACGCCTTCAAAGACATGTGAGGGACAAATATTAGTAATATAACGAGTATTAAAACGTCCCGTGTTGTCGTCTTGCTGTCGCCTATCGAAATACAGTGTCAGTAACGTCGTATACACTCACGGAGCTGTGTTGCCACCCAGCTAGCTAACGTTAGCTAACGTTAGCTCGGCCAATGTAAAAGTTATGATGCCGCTGGCTCTGAGATGTTTTCGGTGTCTGACAGCGGTCAGAAACAGGCGGGTTAGACTCCAGCTCAACACAGCCGTCACTAGATGCTGCTCCACGGTTCAGGGTGAAGTGAGGGTCAGGTTTGCACCCAGTCCCACAGGTAAGGTCCTCAACCTAAAACACAGTGTTAAAATGTCCCCATTGACAGCTAGGAACTGTGATTCTCTGTCTGTAGCACAAGAGCAGGAATTGCTCTCTCCTTTATTTTATTTATTTATCTATTTGGACTAGTGTCAGTGTTGTAATAGTGCATTATGCAAAGTGACAGTGGTTTGGTCAGTGGTAGCTAAGTATATGACACCACCTACTATAACAACATACACCAGAGTAGTATGTAATATGACTTAGTGTTGTATGAATTCAACTGGCAGCCAACTTAATGTTGAAAAGCAGTCTCCTGTTTTGAGGTCTGTCTTTGGATTCAGCCAACTTCTAATCAGATTTCTGTGTGTCCCTGTTTGCTCCACTTTGTCCTCTACAGCAGTAGCTCCCAACTGGTTTCCAGATTTCTCCTCAGTCAGTACTTCAAGGTCCACACAGTTTAATAAATTAAGTGTCATACTTGCGTTTGGCCATGTCACTGAGCTAGTTTGCTGTCTCTGTGAAGTAGCTGTCTGTTATTCACTCACTCTACAGCAGGAAACAGCACTTCAAAATAAGAGTTGTGCTGAAAATTACTTACTTAAAATAAAGTGTATTTTTTACAAACTCGACACGTTCCCAAGTCATTTGCTGTCCACTCAGAATGGACTTGCAACCTGCTTTTGGGCCACGACTTATCAGTTGGGAACCACTGTTCTACAGCACACAGCAGTTTACAATGTCAATATACCCATAAAAAAAGTATTATGTTGTCGTAGATTTCCTCCACACCTTCATTTCAAAAGCCTTGTGTACAACACACACCATATATCAGCTATATATATATATATATCAGCACTATGCATGTACAGGAGGAACAAAAACATGTTCTTAGTCCACACTGTTCAGAGAATCTCCCACAACATGCAGCCTTTGAAGTCAGTGCTTGTATTGTACAGCACATGAGTGTGTGTGCAGTTGCAGACTTTAATCTGAAGAAGGCTCATGATGCAACGTATAATAGGCATTTTTTCGTGGAAGACATTTTGACAGGTATAACTGATAACATTAGTTATGTTACACCTGTGATTTTCCTACTTTTATGGAACAAAATGTCTGCGGTGAAAAAGGCCTGTCCAGTTCATGTTAAAGTGTTCGCTTTTATTAATATTTTATCCATCTCACACCTGAAAAACAGTCTCTTCAGATATTTTTTTTAATCAGTCTGATGTTCTAACAGTATTACTTTCATGCTGCAGGCTTCTTACACCTCGGTGGCCTCCGAACTGCTCTGTACAATTACATCTTTGCCAAGAAGTATGGAGGCTCATTTGTCCTGCGACTGGAGGACACTGATCAGAGCAGGCTGGTACCAGGAGCTGCAGAGTCCATAGAGGACATGTTGGAGTGGGCCGGTAGGAAACACTGGACTAGTGTCATGTGATCCATCACGGTTATTGACTTAATGGATCAATCTTAGCAGTACACTTAGAACACAATTTACCCCATTTACAGAAACTTTCACCTCTAGGTGTACCTCCAGATGAGAGTCCTCGTCGAGGAGGCCCGATGGGTCCGTACCTGCAGTCTCAGAGACTGGACCTGTACAGTCAGACGGCCCAGCAGCTTGTGGAGAGTGATCACGCCTACTACTGTTTCTGCAGCTCTCAGAGACTCGATCTGCTCAAAAAAGAGGCCTTACGGACTGGTCAGACACCCAGGTGGCTAGTTAACATGAACGTACACATGATTTATAATCACCACACATCACATTCTCACAGACTTGAAATAACATCTTGGCAGACTTCAGGATGTTTCCCTCTCACCCCCAGGTATGACAACAGGTGTCGTCACCTTCGGGCCGAGCAGGTCAAGGAGAAACTGGCTCAGGGAGTGCCGCATGTGATTAGGTTTCATCTGGAAGCAGGTGTCGAGCCTTTTCACGATCTGATCTTTGGACGGTATCATCATGAGGTGGCACAGGTCAGATTTATAGTGATTTTACTCTCTGTTTCACTGGTCTCACAGCCTCACACTAAATTATGTAGGATAGAGTCACACATCAATGTAGGTGTGGTGACCGTCAATTCTCCCTTTCTTAGTGAGCCAAGTGTTGTTTTTATGCATTTAAATTTACTCATTTGATTTGAATCCAAGATCTCTGACATTGCAAACATGGCTTAACGACAGCTTTTGTTTCTAGAAAACACAAAACTCAAATGTCTGAGGGGACTGACTGAGTAATGTTTGTTTTTATACCCTCTGCCCTGTTCTTTTAGGTGGAGGGGGATCCTGTAGTGATCAAAGCAGATGGTTTTCCCACCTATCACCTTGCCAACATCGTAGATGATCATTACATGAGGATCAGCCATGTGCTGCGGGGGTCTGAGTGGCTCATCTCCACCTCCAAACATCTCCTCATGTACCGTGCTCTTGGATGGCAGCCGCCCACTTTTGGACATCTGCCACTTCTGATGAACAAAGACGGCAGCAAGCTGTCCAAGAGGCAGGGGGATATATTCATTCAAAGCTTCCAGAGAAATGGAGTCCTGCCCGAGGCTCTGCTGGACATCACAACCAACTGTGGGTCTGGATTCAACAGTGAGTGACGGAGGGGTTATCAGAGAAATGAGTTAAAACATAAACCATGTGAAGTAAAGAAACTGCTTTAAACTGCACTCACATATTGCGTTAAAAATGACATCTGGAAACAGTGACTTTCAAATAAGAAAATAAACTAAAATTTACTTATGTTGGGTTACAGCCAATCGAATTGGGCGCAGGATAGATGAACTGATCTCTGAGTTTAATCCGTCGAAGATCACAACACATTCGGCTCTGTTAGACCTGGAAAAACTACCAGAGTTCAACAGGTAAGTCAGAGCTCCTCGTCTCTCTTGTACTGTTATGCTATGTTTCTCACAATAGTAGGACGTACTGCTCCCTTTTCTGAGCATATCTTTGGCTTTGAATGGATACGTTGGATTTAGCTGTGTTGCTCTGTGGATGAATTACCATGGATTATAGACATTCATTCTCAGACGATGAGTTGTAATTACTGATGATCCCTTGGACCTCTCATCTAGTGCCACCGCTACAGCCAGCACATGGTTAGCTTAGCTTAGCACAAAGAATGGGAACATGGGGAAACAGCTAGTTAGCTCTGTCCAAAGGTAACAACATCTGCCTACCAATACCTCTAAAGCTTTGTGAGAAAACCAGGCTCGCTGTTCCCCCTATTTTCAGTCTTTATGCTAAACTGAGCTAATCAGCTTCTGTCTGTGGCTTCATATTTACCAGAAAGGCGTGAGAGTGGTGTCAATCTTCCATCTACCTCTGCAAAAACAAAGTAAACAAATAATGGCATTTCCAAAATGTTAAACGGGTGGGTGGTAATGTAGAGCCTCACAGGGCTGCTAGCTTGGCTGTAAATTTTCCCTTATGATGGTCACAGTTCATACATCAATAATCTCTCTGACTGTGGCAGAATTCACCTGCAACGTCGTATTGAAGATGAGGAGCAGTGCCATTTGCTGATAAAGGATCTGCAGGGACAGATCCAGCAGGCCTGTACAGCTGAGATCCAGGACAAAGTGCTACACGAGGATTATATCCGGCGGGTGCTTCATCATCGTAAGGTAACTGTAACAGCATACTTATGAACAGGGCTGCGACTAACAATTATCATCAACTAATCTACCAATTATTTTCACGATTAATCATTTAAGTGCTTAGTCTCTAAAATGTCAAAAATAGTGAAAAATGCTCATCACAATTTTCCAGAACCCACATTTACATCTTTGATTTGTTTCTTTAGTCCAACCAACTGTCTGAAGACTCCTCATTTACCATCATAAATGACAAATTCTCTCATTTAAGATGCTGGAACCAGCAACTGTTTGACATTTTTGTTTATGAAAATGACTGATACAAGTAATAAATGATCAAAATAGTTGGCAGTTTTCTTTCAATCAACTAATCGTTGCAGCTCTAGTCATGAATATGAATTGAAACCATGTTACCATGTGGTCATATCATGTTTTAAACATGCTAAATTTTGAATGCTAACGGTTTGTTAGCATGTTTACATGTATTCAGTAGATGTAAGCATTGTGAGCCAAAGCACAGCGGAGGCTAACAAAGTATAGCTCAGACTAAAAAAGTAGTGTAGCCGCTTTACACAGGATTTAGGAAACAACTGCATCTTCCAGCATTCAGACAGAAACCTATTAGAATAAACAGTAAATACAGTCACAGTTTTTGTGAAGAAAAAAGGGAGAAGTATGAAATGTTTGTGTTTGTCCCCTTGATGATGCTGTGTGTTTATTTTCAGTTCAGCACAAAAAGGAACATGGGAGGATTTTTTAAGTCAAGCTAATAAATTACTTAAAATGTTTTGTTATGTTGAAACCACAAAACTGATTAACATCAGTGGGTTAAATGTGAGGGGAAGGGAAAGAATGGATATACAAATGCCAAGTATCCCATTTTGTTCATATATAAATTGTTAATACAGCAAATATAAAGAATTTAGTAGAATAACAAAATCAATCACTTTTTCAGTCCACTAGATACATTTTGCGGCATGAAAAAAAAAGATTGAAGTGAGATGAACAGCCTAAAAACTTTTTCCTTTTAGATAAAACTGACATTGTCAAAGTTTTACTTTGTGGATATAATTTGCAGTTAAAAAAAAGGTAATATATTTGTTATACGTTGTCTTTATTTTTGAATAATTTCTTAGCCCAACAACCTTTCATTTAGGTTTTAGGTTCATTTAGGTCTCCTCCTGCACGTGACTTCTACTCTTTATTCTCAAAGCTGCTCCCTTGTCTCTCCACTAACACTGAACATATCTTCTTCCCCTCTCTACAGGGCCACATAACCTCCCTGAAGGAGCTGTCAAGTCCTGCTTACTCTTACCTGTGGGTGCGTCCTTCCTTCTCCAGCCAGCAGGTGGCAGAACTCACTGCAGAGGCACAGCACATCGCTTCATTAGTGCTGAAGTATGAAGCTTTATTAATAACTCTCTCACTGCATGTTTCATGATAACTTACAAGTTCAGTGTGTTAACAGTTCTGTGTGTCTGCACTTCAGATTAATAGCTGAGCAAGGTGAAGAGCTGAAAATGGATCAACTCAGTAAAGATCTGAAGACCCTGGCTAAGCAGGCTAAAGCCACCAAGTACAGAGAAGTGATGAAGCTGTTACGCCTGGTTCTCAGTGGTCTGCAGGTACCTGAACGCATCGTGTTCATTTTAATGACTGACATTAATACAAAAACACTACATAAACACTACACAGATTCTTTGCAGTGTGTGACTGACATCATGCCTCAATATTTCCTGATCTACACAGCAACCTGCTACTTTGATTACCTTCAAATAAGCAAATATGATGTGTCATCCTGCTGAGGTTTTTACACACCAAAGTCTCTCTGTAGGTCTTGTGAAGTACTAAGAAAGCATATGGGGGGAAAAAAGTTGTATAAAGCCTTTTGTGCATGGATGGATTACTGAATGGACCTACAAGGCACAGGCCCTGGGGCTCAAAGTGTCAGGGGCCCCTGGTTCTTTACCTGCAAAATGTCAATCACATTAACATGTAGCAGCCAGGAGGACACTCCAACTGATCTCAAAGAGGTGCAAAAGAACTGCAGAGAGACTAAAAATAATTACAAAAAAGTGACACAAATAACCTCAAAGCAGCACAAAATGACTACAAAGAGACACAAAACAATCACAAGGACACAAAATGACCACACTTTGATACAAAACCACAAAAATATGTATAACAACTATAAAAGGATGCAAAAGACAACCAAAAAAAGACAGAACCACACCCAAATGTGAGTCAGTGTGCTCCTAGGAGAGAGAGGTGGTGTGGCTCTTGGCTTACCTGTGCCCAGGGGTCCAATGTCTCTTGACTCGCACATGTTTTTGTGGCTTCAGACGGAGCTGTGAGAACTCTGACAAACTGACCAAGCGATGTCACTTCAGTCAGCGCTGGTTTGCTAAAGACTACAAGTTTGAAAATGAAAAACAGTCTGGGGCTGTGTAGTCAGAGAGAAATGAGCATACATATATATGATTGCTCTTTACAGAGGTTATTGTTTGTGTTTCTGTTACTCTATTCTGTGTTTTCTCACTGTGTGGTTTGATTGCATTACTTCACTGACCCCTGATCCTCTGTTCACCTCTGACCTGCAGCAAGGACCCAGTGTAGCTGAGATGATGGTGTGTTTGGGGCCTGCAGAGATCAGCCATCGATTCCAGAAACTTCTGCTGCTTTCAGAGACAAATTAAAGACTGGACAGCGTGTCAGATCACAGATCAATAGGAACATGATGAAGATAAGCTGCTGTTTAAGACATGTATGTTGACAGTTACATGCAACCACCTGGCGATTCTGCCAAAACGATCTGGGACACATTTAACGTGATCTGCACCCAACTGATATAATTTAAACAATACCTGAATTATTGTAACATTTTTTATAAAAGAGATGAAAACAGATTTTTCCTGCATGGTCTGTTTGTGTTCATCAGTACTGTTTAGTAGAGTTTACAGGAACAGGTGACACACGCAGACAAGGATGGGAAGTACCACGGTATTTTTATGCAAATGTGCTTTCTCCTGCAAAGCATTTTAACAGACTACAACAGACAGATATGTTGGGCATTCACCAGAAAAACCTTTTCAAGGAGGCACGAAAACCAAACATTTCTGTCAAAGCTTAAGTCAGTCATGCTTACAGAGGGACTCAAAAAAAAAAACATTTTGCTAAAACAAAGTCATAAATTATTTTGCTAAGTAGTACTCATTCATCTCATTCATAATTGCTATTTCTGTTAGGGGTCGCAGTGGGGGGGAGAGGTGGGTATGGGTTACAGACTATCACAGGGGTAACGTATAGAGACAGACAACCATTCACGCACACATTCACACCTATGGGCAATTTTACCCAACCTGCATGTCTTTGGACTGTGGGAGGGAGGAAACCGGAGTACCTAGAGAAAACCCATGCAGAGAAGGGCTCCCCTAGGGTTTGAAACTTTCACCCTGGATTCGAATGCTAACCTTGTTGTGAGGCAACAGTGCTAACCACTGTACCACTGTGCTGCACCATAGCAATGCGCATTGGTATAGTTGGGTACGGTGGTACCATGGTGGTACTGCACTGCAGCTACTCCAACTTCTTCACCTTCTTACACATTTAAATCAGCATTGCAGTGTAACATCAGCTTTTCAGAAACCCTCACAATATTCTACATTCTGAGTATCATTCAACTTTTCATTGACATTCATAGTAATTAGACCCCTTTCAACTTTTTAAACTGTTCCTATCACTAGACCTCCTCTTTAATCACTAAACCAGCATTGCAGTGTAGTGTCAGCTTTTCAAGAACCTTGAAATATTCCATATCCATCATACATTAATGGTATCATCAATGTTTGAAACCAGCCTTCAACAACCTTTACGTATTCAACAATATGAGTATCGTTCAACTTTTCAATGACATTCATATTAATTTGACCCATTTAAAGTTTTTCAACTATTTCTATCACTTGACCTTATTCTTACACATTAAAACCAGCATTTCAGTGTAGCGTCAGCTTTTCAAAAGCCTTGAAATATGTAACAATTGGTATCATTCAACTATTCAATGACATTCATTCACATTAAAACAGCATTGTAGTGTAGTGTCAGATTTTCAAAAAAACCTTAAAATATTCCACAACATTCACACATTAATGGTATTATTCAACGTTTAAAGACAGCATGTCACTGTAGTCAGCTATTCAGGATGCCGCATTCACACCCGCAATTTCTTCAGCAATTGGACTCTCTAGTTATTATTACTATTTTAAGGGGTTTTATTGCCTTTTTTGTAGAGCGGCTGGAGATTGACAGGAATGTTTGAAGAGGACTCATTCTACATGGGTCAAGTGAGCTAGAGATCGCCCCGGGTCAGACCCACATTGAGGGTACTAAATGTCTAAAAAGTGACAATATTAATTTGTACAGAATGTATTATGAAATTGCAAATTACTTGCATTTTAATTACATACATTTTTGCATACCAGCAAACACCATCGTAGAATAATGTCATTTAGTTGTGAGGTATGGCGAACAAAGCCCAACGTTTGCAAAACATCATAATGTTAACATCCACACAACGTGAAATTCTAACATTGGTAGACAGTTAAAATATCGTCAACCCGATGTTCATTCCAACCAAAATTTAATGTCTGTCCAACATAAGAGTCCGATGTCTTTCTGGCGTCAAATTGACATCCGGTCCCAGCTGTGATAGTGCAGTACTTTAATCAGATTTTGAGTTATGTCGTCTGTTCAGAACAGTGACAAAATGATACATGCTCGAAAGGTCATGCACCCTTAAAACATGGAGATGGAGGAAATGGAGAAGCTGTCCTCCCAGACCTGGATCAGGTCATCAGTGAGCTCCTGGAAAGTCTGTGGCGGTACTTGGCGGCGTCGGATGCACCGATACATAAGGTCCCATAGGTGCTCAGTTGGATTTAGATCAGGCGAACAAGAGGGCCAGTCAATGGCATCAATGCCTTCGTCATCCAGGAACTGCCTACACACTGTGTCCACATGAGGCAAGGCATTGTCCTGCACCAGGAGGAACCCAGGGCCCCCTGCACCAGCATAAGGTCTGACAAGGTCGGTACCTAACAGCAGTCAGGGTACTACTGGCTATGACACTGAGGTCGGTGTGACCCTCCAAGGATATGCCTCCCCAGACCATCTCTGACCCACCGCCAAACCGGTCATGATGGATGATGTATTATATTGTGTATTCTATTCCATGGTCAGTGATTAAGCTTCAGGCTGAACTTTTCATAATCATTTGTTGAATGGATTCCATTAAAAACATACAATCACTTTTTTATAGTGTAAGAAAGTAACAGCATAAAGTACGATACTGAGGGGAATATGAAAACAATTTTTCTTCACTCTAGTTAATGAAACACAGGTGGACTACAATGTGCTGAGTGTTTATTGATCTGCTAATGTCACTGCTGTAATCTAAGTTGTAAATTTTCAAATCCTGTGGGATTTTTAATACTCACTGAAGTTCAGGGTTCTCCTTTTCTATGTTTCCTTGTCTTGTTTGGTCAGACTCATTTTTGATGATGTGGCAGAGCAGCTCTCTCTAGCTTTCCTGTAGAGTGCTGAACAGGGAGCCAGATCAGTGTGTTTATTTTTTGTGTGTGTGTGTTAACGTTGGCAGCCGCAGCATGTGAGGTTTGTCTTGGTTAGCAGATGGAAAAACAGGATGGGCTGAAATACTGTTTTTGACCACTGCTTTCCAACCCATAGCAGGTAGCAGGTTCAGTGCAGTGTGTTTAACGGTATGTTCTGTTCTGTACTGTACTGCACACGCTCCAGGTGTTTCATCAGAATGTGTGAGACACTCTGAGTGATTAAGATGTATTTGAATTTAGAGTAACCACAGTTACTATATCAGCAAAATTAGTAAACATGGCAGCACTCAGCTGAAGCAGGGATGATCCCAACAGTTGAAATCATGATCAGAGCCTGGAATCAAACATCAATCCTGGATTATGAATATCTAAACTCTGTGGCCCATTAGATCCACAGTACTTCCAGAGTACAGATGGCCGCCTATAATCGACAAAGTCCTCATTCGTTCTTTTTTATTTGTGTCCTAATTAAAAGATTCAAGAGCAATAAAAAGCCTGAGAGGAAGGTAAGCTGCTTAACTTCTGCGTTATTTTTAATGAAGTCCCACATTTTAGAACACACAGACACACAATCCTCCTTAATCAGGGCACCACTCAGACAGGATGTGGTTTAGAGATTACGCTGGAGAATAATTGTTCCCACATTGCAGCAGCATCTTGATCAGACTAAGCTTAATTTATCACTCTGAATGTTTCCTTAAATCGGTCGAACGCCTCACTGCAGGCCAGGAACAATAGCTCCAGGGAGGCAACAGCACAGGGCCAAGATCAGGAATTAATTTCTAATGCTTCAGCGCATGATAAATGCGATCAAGAAAAACATTAGGCTTGACTGTACAGATGCACACACCTGCTAAACAGTATAGCTAAGGGAAAGACTATATGCTGCTGTACTCTTAGAAGCAGCTAACAAAGGCATTGGGACTTTTTGTGTTACTTTCTTTTAAACACTGACTAAAAGAGATTGATAGTTGCAAACAGCCATGAATGACTAAACGACAATTATATTACTCAGATGTTGCACTCTTAGAGGTTCAGGTTGTGGTTGTGAGTCCCTCTGTTCTGACCGTGAAGTTCGTCCAGTTCCTTGCTCTGCACATCCACAAAGTCTTTTGCAAATATTCTTTTGCAAAAGAAAATATTCTGACTCACTCTCACAATCAACTCATCCCTTCCTGCACCAAATCAGCACCACATGGTGATGCTGCAAATCAAATGTGCAAACGAGCCGAGTTACTGAATGTGAAGGTCGTGACTGCAGCTGTTTAGATCTGTGATCAGACTGCACTTGATTTTGTTTGGACAGAAATGCCAGACATTAAAAAGAGAACAGGAAGTGTGTGAGAGTGTCTGGGGATATGGGCATGACTGGATTTCCTTGATTCATTTAGTTTTGGGAATTGTGCATACTTGACCTTTGGAGAGACTTTGTGGTCATTGCGATTTATCTTGTGCAGCAACACATGCAGACGCACGGTGTGTTGACAACTGAAGGTGGCGGCATGTCGATAGGGGCCATTATAAATGGAAAACAAAAATGGAAATTACATTTTATTAGCAGCATGGCCTGAGGGAGGCATTATCAGTCTTTCTTTCATTTCAATACTTTGTCAAGGGCAAGAAATCTCCATGTGAAGATATGTTGTGAACTACAAGCCCAATTTCTATGATCTCAGGGATCAAAACTTTTTGAGTAGTTTGATGTGCTGCTAGGATACACAGATGGATGACAAATTAACGGCAAAAAAAAAATAAAAAACTTAAAGTGAAGTGTTAGTAAGGTGTTGGGCCACCACATGCCGCCAGTAGAGCTTTAGTGCTCCTCAGCAGTGATTCTACAAGCTTGCGAAGGGATGAACGCCGCAGCAGGACAGTGGCCATGTGCCAACAAGGTGCTTGGACGAAATGGGACCATGCATCTGCCTGGAAGATCACCTAGACAGTACTGTGGAACTAAGAACCAGCAGGACTCAAGTTTCTGACCCAGCCAGTGTATGATGTCCTCCCAAGCCCATCCAGCCTGCATTGATGGGGGCTATCAGAAACCTCGGCATGTCCACTGTGCCCAGCAAAAGGTTCCCAAGAACACATCCTGAGCTGCTGCCCTAAAGCCCTAGGAGAGGGGAGGTACACCTGGTGCCATGACCAGGTGCTGAAGGCAGTGGCTAACACCATCTGCACTAGAATCCAGCAGAGCATACGTCAGGTCCGAGCAAGGCACAACATCGCCTTTGTCAGAGCGCAAGGTCTCAACTGAGCTGCTAGCCTCAGCTTGTGACTGGCAGCTGAAAGTGGACCTTTGGAGGTACCTTAACTTTCCAGAGCATATTGCAAGGACGTCTCGCAGGACAGATTTGGTCTTAACATCTGACTCCACAAAGCAAGTAGTGCTGCTGGAACTTACAGTGCAAAAGAAGGCCAAATACCTTGCGCTGTTAGAGGCCTGTAGAGAGAGTGGTTGAAGGGGCCTGCTGTGAGCCAACTGAAGTAGGCTGCAGGGGTTTCCCAGGGCAATCTGTGCACCGTGCACTCAGGTTCCTTGGCATCAGAGAGTTACAGGAGAAGAAAGCCACCAGAGACATCAGTGAGGCTGCAGAAAAAGCCTCAAGGTGGCTGTGGATCAAGAGGGCAGATCCATGGTGTAGCACGCTGCTTGGATGCAAGCTGGGGACTAATCATCCTCAGATCTTGTAACTGCAAAGGTCATAGCGCATGATTCAGATCATTTTCATATTCATACAACCATTCAGTGAGCCCTCTTGCTCTATGGATGGGGGCATTGTGATGCTGTCATCTCATGTATTTATTCAGGTTTGTCACATGTCTTAAGAGCAGTGTGAGGTCATTTTCTGTGAGAGAAAAAGAAGAAGTGGTGAAGAAGGGTTAGAAGAAGTCATCTGTTTCCTTTCTTTAGAGAGGAGTCAGTTGTAGCCCTCTTCAGTGAGAGCAGCTGCTGTAATGTTTGGCTGGATTACAGAAAAGCACATACACATGGCAGGATATCAGCTGTTACAGTGCAACACCTCAACAGTAATTACTGTAGTACAGCTGTTGTTTACAGTACTGCTTCTTAGAGCCTGAAGTGTGCTGATTGTTGCTTTGCTTCACTAACAGACATGCATTTGTATCCATTTTGTATCCCAAGTGTAAGACAATCACTTAGGACTGAAAAGCTTCAGAGAACACCTGCAGGGTGCAGAAACAGTCACACGTTGTATCTATACTACCATCTAGTGGCCAATGAGTGAAATGGGTCACATCAACTGCATCTTCTCTTCAGCACTAATAGTGTCAATTAAAACTCTCGCCCTGCTTCTTGTTAATGTTAGTGCACGTGTGTGTGTGTGTGTGTGTGTGTGTGTGTGTGTGTGTGTTTGTGTGTGACTTTCTTGGTGGACGTTTGTGGACGATCAGAACTTTTAATAGCAATTTAAATTAATTCAACCTGTGATGCTGTTTCTGGTAGCCTGTGTGTGGACAAAGAAAAAAAAGAAAGACGCTCTTCAGCCACAGCCTCACAGAAATGCTCACTGTGTGGACTCATGGCTCTCATTTAAAGCAGCTATAATCAATATTTCTATAATAACAATGTGTTGGATGACAATGTGAAAACAATGTGACACATGAGAGGGAGCTAGTGATGAGCCTACACAGAATTACCACCTGGACCTGCAGCGTCCCTCGGCCTTACGGAGCTTTAGGGCAGTTTTAGCTCATTGCTTTTGAACTCAGCAGGCAGCTGTTTTCAGCCCAAACCTCTCAAACCCTCTGTACACTACCTGTTCAGCAGCAAATAGCAGAGAGACACATTTAGTAACTAGCTTCAACGTTTAGCAACAGAAGTGCCAGATATTGCTTTATTAGGTGGTAGAGACCAAAAGCAGAGCTAAAAGGTGGCCAAAAGCACGACTCCAAATGGATGATAATGTTTCTAAACTGCTGGATGTTTATTTATTTTTCTGTAACCGCTTATCCTGTTGGGAGTCGCCAGGGTTCGGACACTGGGTGAGAGGCAGGGTACACCCTGGACAGAATGCCAGACTAACGCAGGGCTGACACATAGAGACAGACAACCATTCGCGCTCACATTCACACCTACAGACAATTTAGAGTCACCAATTAACCTGTATGTCTTTGGACTGTGGGAGGAAGCTGGAGTACCTGGAGAAAACCCACGCTGACATGGGGAGAACATGCAAACAGAAGGGCTCCTCCACCCTGGGGTTCAGAGCCCCCACCCTGGATTCGAACTGGGAACCCTCTTGCTGTGAAGTGATAATGCTAACCACCGTCAACTAAAATTATCAATGGTGTTTTCACTCGTACTGCTAAGTAGCCAAAAACGGGTTTAAAGAAATGGAAGGCTGGGATGTTGCCCAAGGCCTCACCTGCCATCAAAGAGGAGGATTTTTTTCATGTGTTTTATTTCAGACACCCCATCTACCTTTAAAAGTCCAATGCACACAATCTATAGTTACATAAACGTAATGGTCATACTGCAATAAACACCTGATTTCCAGAGGAATCTGCAGGCTATGCTCACAGTCATATCATGAACTCAAACTGCTGGCTGTCACTTACTTTGAGACCCACACAGTTTTTTTTTGTACAGACTGCTGTGTAAGAATCAGAGACATGGATAACCAGATTGGTTACTCATGTGTCATTATATCCCACATGTCAAGGGCTTTTGGTTTGGTTTTAGAAGTGTGAAGAAACTATCTAAGTAAGTATGCAAGTGCACAAGTATGCAAGAAAGCAGGAAGGCCGATGAGCAAATAAGCAAGTATGCAGGTAGGCAAATAGGCAAGTGGGCAAGTAAGCAAGTGAGCATAACACAAATGTACGCATGTACGCATGTGAGCAGCTAGGCTAGTTAGCAAGTCCACAAGTAAGCAAGTATGCAGGTGGGCAAGTATGCAAGTGGGCAAGTAAACAAGTATGCAAGTGAGTGAATAAGCAAGTGAGCATGACAGCAATTAAGCTGGTAGGTAGGTAGGAAAGAATGCAAGTATGCAAATGAGCAAGTACACAAAATAGGTTGGCAAGTGAGCAAGAACACGAAAGCAAGTAGACAAGTGAGCAAGTACGCAAGCAAACATTGGGATTTTTAATATACCTGATACTTCTGATAAATGCTGATGTATTTGCATTTTTACTATAAAGGGCTTTGTGCTTTACTGCTTCGTCTGTGACTGATGTTCAATTCTAGCGTCTTTGTTTCAAGCACACTGGGGCCTTAAAGTGAGACTATGTAAGTTTTGCTGAACAGCAGCCAGTGTAGCAGATACCTGTGGCTGCATGCTAAAACGTAGCACAACAGTAGCATAAGTACAAAGGAGTCCTTTCTGAACATATATTGCTGCATATAACTTCACATCGCTTCTTATTCAGTGTGTTTTCACTGTAACGAATGGGGGAAAAAGAATGAATAACTCATCAATCAATCATATGAACGCTTGAGAGATTATAATGCAAACACCATTCATTTATTGGTATAATATTTCATAATACTTATAGGCCTGATACCTGATATATAGGTATCATTCTGTTAAATACATATGTACTAAGCCTGTGTGTATCTATAGGCAGGCATTTCACATTCAAGTCCAGGTTCAGTGCAGTGATGACCAAACGTATCGTCTGTTCCTAACACCGAAGAAAAGGAGGAGCGGAGTAGATGAGCTATTGCTCAATACATCAGCTTATCATCTGTAATCATTTGTACTTTATTTCTATTCATCTTTCTTTTACTCCTCCCCCCTCCTTTATCTATTCTCATCATTCTTCACTTTAATGCTCATATCTGACATAAAATCATTAATCTCCCTGTCGTTTTATCCGTAGACAAATGCCTTTCCATTCACTAATTCACTTGAATTTCACTGGAGAAGGGACAGAGCGGTCTCCCTGAGGTCCTCCTTCATGGCGCCAATATGAACCAGCCAGGAATGCATTGTGGGTCAGCTGTAGAGACAGGCACGCGGGTCCGATAGGGTACAATCAGTAATCAGTTTAGGTCCAGATTGAGAAAGTAAGGTTAAGATTAGGCTGGTTTAGTCCAGTTTTGATTCCACCTGAATCCTCTTGGGGTGACTACGACAAATAACGTAACTAACTCAGGACCAGATGCTGTTGAGCTTGCAAGGTAACAAGGCAATGCAAAATAGATATCATCATGTATACCGTATGTGGGAAGGAATACCTGAGTCAATTAGTTCTTGAACAGTGCTGATTGCTGTCTTGAATCTAACAGTAACGCATTTTTGGGCTTTCTGCGGTGATTCATTTGTGCCAACAAAGCTCAAGATACAATTTGACTCGTCAGAAAAAGAGGATTTATTTGAAGAACTCGCCTCAGGTGCTCCACAGAATAGAATAGTTTGGAGTCTTGGGGGGTGGGATGCATTCATGCTTTCGTCGGTGAAGCAGCAGAGGTAAGGATCCTGGTGAATCTTGGTGGACAATCAAAGTATGTGGCTTCATCACGATCTTCTAAAGGAACAGTTCTGGCTCTGTGGGTGCTCAGACTTGTCACTGTGGATGGGGCAAAGGCATCGAAGGGACTGTTGAGATACACCCTGTTAGTTTGGTGGTGTGTGCATGTTTGTGTCTATGCACCCTTAAGTGCGCCTGAGTGCATGTGTGTGTGCGTATGTGTGTGTGTGTGTTAGCTTTTCTTCAAGAGTTCAGGTTATATAGCAGCTGATGTGTCATTAGACAGACACAAATACATCCAGTCCGAGTTTTATCCGCTTCAAGTGTGCACAATGACATCAGACCAGGATCCGCAGTCCAGTTCAGGCTCATTTAAACTAGTCTCATTGTAGTCGGCATAGATTAATCCAAAAAGAGTCCATCCTGTTGTCTCCCTCTGCAGACCAGAGCTGGAAAGATGCAGGAGGTCTCAGAGGAAAGGGTTGTGGCTGTGTGTCTGTGATTGAGTGCGCTGCACCGGTCGTGGAGAAAGGGGGAGCAGGGGCTGCGGGAGGTTGGAGGGAAGGTCCAGGAGTCCAGCGGGAGGTTGTGTAAGAGAGGAGGGGAGAATGGGTGGCTGGTGGGGCAGAGGGAGAGGCAGCGATGGGCTGTAGGAGAGCATGTGGGGGGGTAATGGGGATGTAGACGATGGTCGCATTTGGTTGAGGGTGAGGCGAGGCTGGTCGCAGTGGAAGGGGTTGGTTGGAGACGGAGCACTCAGACCTGAGAAGACAGAATTGGGTGGAAAACTTTTTAGTAATTCCTCAATAATGTGTACGTACAGTGTGTGAGTTTTTGAATAGTTACCTGAGAGGAAGGGGTTGTTGTGCGTCTTGCTAGGGGGGTTGGAGGGTATCAGAGCGTCTAAATTGACCAGAGAGGCCCCAGTGGGTCCTAGGAAGGCCTCCGGGGTTCGACATACACGTGTAGGTGGGGCGCTGAGCGGGGGTGCTAGCCGGGACAAATCAAACATCTCTGGGCTAGATGACTCTCGCCCATTGACCTGGGGTTTTACTGGTGGGTCGCTCCCAAATGGATCTGGCTTGGAATCTGCTCCAGCAAACAGGTCAGAGTCCGCCTTTACACCAAACAATTCTGCATCTGCATCAGGAACAGAAAACACAAGGTTTTAAAAAAATGATTATTGAGAGGATATAATGCAATATGAAGCATAGCTGATAGAGTACAGGAAATCCCAGCATGAGATGCACAATACTCCAATATCAGTATCGATAATCTAAGGTTTTAAGTTTCACGAAGGTGATATGGGAATTTGTTACAGCGTTATAGGATTAGATTACATTATTATTGTACAAGTGTCCTTGTCCCTGGGACATTTAATGCATTGTGGTATAGTGCATATGCTAAATGTGACACAATCAAACACCACAGTAGACTACCTTTGTTTTCCTTCTTTCCTCCTTTGTTATCTTGTGTATTCTATCAGTCTACCTGCTGTCTATGAGCTCATGCTGGAGCAAGTGTTTTTTTCCATTCCATCCACTGTCAGTGCAGAAGACTAATTGCTTTGGTAAGATGAAATGTACAGTCAAATCCACAGTACTTCTGTCTTGTACTCAGTACCTGTGGGACTAGCAGGTGTAGGAGAGGACACTTGAGGAACATCTTGTTTCTCCTCTTCCTGAGCAGCAAACAGATCTTTTCCATCACCACCTGCATGTCAAATTAAAAACAGTAGAATCTTAGGCAGAGTGCAGCGCTTATATTTTCTTTGACAGGTATTATGAAGTGTGTAAGTTTTAATGAGGCTGGTGTTTCTGAAAAATACCTCCGTCTGTTGGGCTGTCCCACGCATGATTGACAGGACTGGAGGAGACAGGCGCCGTTTCCCAGGGGTCTGTGTGTGAGTCTGCACATGGAGCCCAAGGATTGGATGCGTTGGAAGATGAGGGAGGGGCCGTCCAAGGGCTACCGATCACAGGTGTGCTGGAGTGGACCGCTGTGACACAGACACAAAACACAATATTTAGTGTGAAGTATAAAAACACACAAACACAGAATGGGTGTGTCTGTGATAAACCACCCACCTACAGAGTCCCAGGGGTCAGAGGTGATGTCACTGGTGGGTTGGGCAGAGTTCCACGGGTCAGTAGGCTGAGGTGCGGCCTCAGATGAGGGGCCAAATATGTCCACTAGGTCGAGCATTGCAGACTACAGAGGGAGACAAAACCTTTCTGTAAATCTGTGCCAAATATTCTCAAGTCTATGTTACTGGGTTACTGTGTTTGTGAAACACGCAAAACTCTCAGTAAGAGTAAACATATCAAACCCTGTCATGATCTGTAGAGAGGAGTATGGGAACTGCCAATTACTGTGATTGTATAGTATGACAATTACTTAAAACACAATTTTGACATTTGTTAAAGAAGTATTTCACTGCTAAAGACATGGTCCTTTTATAAAAAATGGGCTGTCTATGCAGTAGAGTGATGCAAATACTTTTAACATTGGTGCCACATGATCTGAGAAAATAGAGACAAAGGGCTGTGGCATTCGCTTTTACTCAAGAGGTAGAAAACATACAACTACCAAAATGCACTCTGCTGCACCGAACCAATAAACACTCTTGCTGGTGGATGACATCATGCAAGCTTGTCTGTTCTGATACAGGAAACAAGATGGCGGACAGATTGAAAGTCAGAAGTTTGAATCATCAGTCTGAGACCCCTCAGTCGACTGAGATTGCTTCAAGTCAAGTAGTCTAGTGTTTTTTTTGCCAGTCAGTGGTCTGTGTAGTGTACTTATGGGGACGTTTTGGTCCACAGATACTTCTGCAGCATGAGCACTCTTTACTTTCATGCTGCTACTTGGTACAGACAGCTGCAGACACAGTGCAGCTGCCTGTAGGAGGAGAGGCTTTGCACCATAAGGCTCTGAAATAACATCATCCTCTGCCCTCTGCTTAGAAGTGGTGATTTACAGCTCAGAGTAACTCAATATGATACTGCCTCTGGCTTTTGTTTCATATCTAGTGTCAGCAAAAAATGTTGTTGCACATTTCAAATCTGTCGTTAGCCTTGTTAGCTTGTTTACTATATTACTTGAATGTCACTGTCAGCCTGAACATCCTGCTGAAGCCTGTTCAAACTTTTAAATCTCTATATCTAAATAAAGGAACAAATAGTTAAATATTTTGATTAAACAGCAAAATCTGATCTGCCAGATGTAATTATGAGTTGGGTACAGCCCTACTGGCTTGCAACAAATGCAACGCAGGAACATAATATTGGTTCATATTTGATCAGCACTGTGCAGTTTTAGTGATTGAGCTCAGTATTTTCAGCCTCTGTTTTTACAATACAGGAAACAGTATGGTGCCTACTTCCTGTTTCACAAAGTCTCGTATTACAGCCAAACAGTACAAACAAAATATGTTTCTGAAGATATTTTAGCTGAGAAATAGTAACAGTAACAGAAACTTTATAATTTATCAGCGCTGCTTAGTTTACTGTTGGAGTTTGGTCTGAGTTTGAGAAAGAGGGGCGTCTCTCTCTCTGTCTGCTTCTGTACTCTCTGTGCCAGTGGTGGCAGGGGTATGAAAATGAGAAGTACAATCAGTAGTTGGAGCAACAGTCCCATCTGACAGATTTGAGCTGGGAGATCAGCAAGGAAACCTGGGCGCTGGTAAGACGATTGGGAAGTTTACCACAGTTCATTTGCACATACCACTCACACTGTTACGATACAGAGCTTGTTGAAAATCGGCAACATATCCCTTTAAATGAAGTAGCTGAGACAGAACAAGTGTAACTGTCATTAAAGATACCTCTCTGGATAGTTATCTGCTTCTTCATGGGTTGAAGAACTTCTCATTTCGACTATGGATTAATCACCCTCCTTAAATCAAACCATCTCTACGGGGTCTAATCGCCAAAGACTTTCCACATTCTTATTCATACCTTCACATGTTAATAAATATTCTTTTACCATAAAAACGAGTCTCCCCTGATTGAACTAATACCACACTGACAGTGCTGTCTCTGTGCACCTACCAGGAAAAGGTTAGCTCACTTTAAAAGCTATGTCATTTCCTTTGAGAATTAATACGCACAATATTTCACTGGTGTCCTTGTGAGTTATCTAATCACTCATTGGGCTGGTTAATATATTAGAAAGCCAATATTAGGTAACACAGATGTGTACCATACCATTATACTTTTTTTGTTTGGTAGTGCGTGTATGTTAGCATGAGATTACATGACATAGTGCAAAAAGTAAAAATTGCTTGAGGGGATTCAGAAACTGTTTTTCAGGCTGCATCTGGACTCCACTCTTCAGATGACTGTGCAGCAGTTGGCAGAGCAGCATCTCACAGCAAAGTAGACAGCAGCGCAGTCAGCTGATCTTGTTTACTGTTCAACCTGAAAACACCCTGCGCATATGGTAACAACACTGACATCCGATTTGTGTACATACAGCACAGTATATACAAAATGTTGATATAACTAAAACTATTTTATACGGCAGCAGCCTTTCTTTATCAGTTGTAAGCCTTTGGGTGATTTAAATGCAAACTAGAATTTTCACATCATAAAATATCCTTCTAACGTCACACCATACGTCAACATATGAGGTTGGCATTATCAAGTGAGGGCTCGTATTAGGTCATTAAACCCTTTTATATAACAAAAACCCTTTTTATATAAGATTATCAAGTAATTTCATTTTAGCACATAAATAAGTACTTAAAAGTGGGCACCTAATATTTTAAGAAGTATTGTTAATTTAAATTATATCTACCACATTGTACATACATAGACATGTAGCGTGTAAACATCATGATTACAACAATGTGGATAAATCCATGCTTTCATTCAGACAGAAACAGTAGTTCCATGTACTGTATACAGTATCTCACATAAGTGAGGACACCCCTCCCATTTTTGCAAATATTTCATTATATCTTTTCATGGGACAACACTATAGAAATGACACTTTGATATAACTTAAAGTAGTCAGTGTACAGCTTGTATAGTAGCATAGATTAACCTTCCTCTGAAAATTACTCAAAACACAGCCATCAACATCTAAACAGCTGGAAACATAAGTGAGTACACCCCACAGTGAACATGTCCAAATTGTGCCTAAAGTGTCAATATTTTGTGTGCCAACCATTATTATCTAGCACTGCCTTAACCCTTTTGGGCATGGAATTCACCAGAGCTCACAGGTTGCTTCAGGAATCCTCTCCCACTCCTCCATGATGACATCATGGAGCAGATGGATGTGAAGACACCTTGCGCTACCCCACCTTCAGCTTGAGGATGCCCCACAGGTGCACAGGTGAGTTTAGGGCTGGATACATACTTGGCCAGTCCATCACCTTTACCTTCAGCTTCCTCAGCAAGGCAGATGTCATCTACTAGGTGTGTTTTGGGTCAGTCTTCTTCTTCTTCTTCTTCTTCTTCTTCTTCTTCTTTTGTCTTCTTCTTCCAAGGAAATCATATTTCCCATGGGTGAAAACTCACCAAACTTTGCACAAAGGTCCAGTCTCATGCCAGATATCCTCAGCTGTAAATTCAGCTTATTGCTTAAAATTGCCTGAGCGTGACTGATCACTGTGCAGCATCTTCAAGTTTTTTTTCTGCTAGAAAATCTGCCTTCTCATGCTTGAAAATAAACTTTGCACTAAGATCCAGTGTCAATACTTCAGTGTGAATCCATCTGAGGCTTCTCACTTTGCACATAGCTCAACTAGTTAAACATCAGTTTTTCACTTATGAAGCAAATCAATCATTGTTAAAACAAATTACCAACATCTCCATGCTGTCTAGATGCAATATGTGTATTTTCAGATTTTTGTTTCGATAACTGAATTTTTTACAGTGATTTGAAATCTGCTTTTCCATCCATGGACGGCTGCTAAACCTGCACGCCTGGCTTAGTCAATTTGTGAAGCTACACATGAATTGTCACTGACTAATTAGCTCAGTGAAATTGATTCATAGTCTCAGAGGTTGTGAGTTCAAGCTTCAGCTGATGCAAAAGGCAGATTGTGTTGCTAAATTCCTAAATGTCTTCCAATTCTTCTGCTTGTTGCTCAGAATTGCCTAAAAATGCCCGGACCCGACCCATCGCTGCACAGCAGCTATAATTTATTTCTATATCTCTTAAACCATATCCAATGGGGATCTTTAAGAATTTAATCTTGCTACACCCTTTGCAAATTGTACACTAAGGCATCAGATAAAAGGCCATAAATTAAATGTCACATTTGAATGTGTGGTGATACAAGACACGATGATATATAACATCGATCTATCTGACTTGTGAATATATCAGGAATTACATCAGTCAGAAAGCCATTTAGAAGCTCGCTTTCGCTGTTTTTTCCCTGGTCTTTATATCTTTGCTTTTTCTATGGGGCACCTGAAAGTGCCAGGATTTCTGCGATAAGCAGCATAATATGACCAATTACCAGCCATGAGGACCTTTACATAAGACAGCTGGTGACTCTGATTGGCTTGTTGACAGGCCAATGAGTAAAGGGGCTTGCGTGCAACACGATAAGGAGTATGCTTTCAGGGAAATGTCATGCTGAGCTCAAGGTTAGACAAGACAAAGTCATTATCATTCAGCAGGCACCTCTTTCTCCTCTCTCAGCTCTTCACCGTTTCTCTCTCAAACCTCCCTCATTATGCTGATCCATGTCTTTTTGTCTCGTTTCCCTCCATATCCCACAGTCCACACTATAAACTCCACTTCATTCTCTAAATGCCTGCCAAAAAACCACCTACAAATGCACCCGCCCACCTCTCCATGCACACACAAACACTCATGTAGCACGCATGCACCCACACTCATACTGTACAGCACACACATTTTAAAAACTCACCTCCTGTGTCCCCGACTGACTCTCTCTCCTGCTCTCATCCAGGGCCTTCTGTAACAGAGACTCGTCTCCTTGGCGACAGCACTGCTCCTGCAGGGGCGGCATCGTGACATCATCAACATTACTGCCACGGCTATGAGCGTGGATGCACACGCACTCATGCACATACACACCAGCGTTAGTGAGATAGTCTTTGGTTTGGCCCAACAAAACGAAGGCAGCGCTGGTGGCTTTTTTGTGCTGTTGAAATATTTAGTTGACAAAGATCAGAGGCTGGTTTAGAGCAGGAGATGATGCAGAGGATGTTTTTTATGGAGAAGTTTAAACATATCTTGTGAGAGAAAAGAGAGATGTATGTTTGAAAGCCAGTGGAAGATACAGCAGAGGTCTTGGAGTGGGAGAAACTGGCTCAGGAAGAGGAAAGTTAGGTAGAAAGTCATTGGAAGGCCACAGAGAAGCATTTTAGTAAAGCTGTAAGAGCCATGTCACGCACTGGAGGGTTAATAAATGCTGACACTGAATGGTAAGGAGTGAAGTGGGTATCTGAGTGTGTGTGTGTACCTGCTCATGCTCCTTTTGGCTTAAGGCTTAAAGCAATCTGTGGTTGTATGTCTTCATCCATCTCTATGGTAACAGGGGAAGGAAGGGCTAGCTAGATGAAGGTGGGCGAATGTTCAGAGCGTTTGTAACAACATTTTCATTACTGGAATCATCAAGAGGCAATAAGACATGTGTGGCTCGATTGCAGGGGAAGAGCATCTGTGTGGAGGGAGGGTATGCTGTCACACGCTCAAGGAGATTACACATTATCATAACGTGTGTGTGTTGTTTTACCTTCTGACTCTCCTCCCTGCTCATGGCTAGAGCCAGCTGGAGCTGCAGCTCCTCCTCGCCGCTTGTCTGAGGTCGAGCCTGCTCCAGGTCTGAGGCGGCACGAGGAGACGAGGATGAGGCTGCAGAGGGAACAAGTGAGGGAGTTTGAGGGAGGAAGACATGACAGTGCGTGCGGAGAAATGGTCAGATTGACGTGGGGGTGCATGAGCGGACGCAAAGAGACACAGAGCACAGGAAGTGTGGGGCCAATTTGAATATTTTCAGGCCTACACTGCAGTATTGATAATCTATGTGGCAGATTGTCCAGAGTGCTGGGCTACAGCGCAAAATGCATTTCATTAGGGATCAGCCTGAATACAAGTGTGTATTTTTAACACTTCATCCATTTATTAATCGCCAGCACACGAAATAAGCTGTTCAGTGCTCCAGATAACTTTAGACTTTAAACAGGCTTTAATATTTTTTCTCTATAATACTAACATATCAAATAACATCATGAAAACCAGAATTACCACTTTAAGGTTGTATGTCTCTGTGCACCTGTCAAGTTGCAGTTACAGTTTACATCCATGTCTGTGACAACATGGATGCTTCACACACATCTTCCCCCCGGCAACACAGAAGATCTGTACAATCAGCAGAGTTTAAGGTGGGCACCCAAGTTTAGAGTCACCAATTCAGTATCTGACCAAATGTTTCCGCGTCTGTTCCTGATTTATGATGTTGGATAATGTCCAGGAAAGTATTTTGTGCAGAACATTATGATGTCACATTTAAGTTGACCTTTGACCTTTTAGATTTGAAATTTTATCACTACATTATTTTATCCTATTAGACATTTGTGTGATGTGTTGTCCTTCATTCCGGCCATAAACATGTTTTGTGAGGTCACAGTGACCTTGACCTTTGACCACTAAATAGACTGCCCAAATAATAAATCCTAAAACCTGGAAATGAGTTAGCATTTTAGCACTCATGGTCCCCTCATCTCCAAGTCACTGGGTTGTCAGATGCCTGAAATTAGGTCTGCGGTTAACATAAGCTTGTGAGACTTTCATGTGTTGTTCGGCAACATAAAATATGTCAGTAAATATGCCAGCCAGGTATTTTAAAGCTCTTATGTGTCTTAAAAAAGGCGGTTGCTGACAAGTAGTGAAATGAAACTACAGACTGTCATCACGTCGTGCAACTGTGGTGTAGTTCGTTTATAGCCTAATGCTAGCGTTATTACTTCTGGGGTTTGCATTAAGCCCTCGAAAATCATAAAGTGATGTTCATTTATGAAGATTATATTGCTGAACAAAACGTGTAAGTATCATAAACGTTTGTTTGCCACAGAGCTTATTTTCTGCATTAATCCAAAATCCAATGGAAAAACTGCATCCGTTTTATTCGGATGTTAAGCATAGAAAGCTTGCACACTGATTACGATGTGTTTTACTGTTCTGTGCGGTCCACATCCTCCACCTCTTCTTCATCATCCACCTAATTATTACTATCTGACCTGTTGAAAGTGAGCTAAGTTATGAAATGATTCTGTGCGCCACGTTCCTGTCTTGTCGCTGTGGCCCGCCAACACATTTTGTTCACTGATTCTTGGTCAAACAGGCTTTTGACAGATGCGAAAAACGCAGATAATCAAACCTTTCGAACTCAGTGTGCATATGTGATTGACACAATGTGAGATCATTTTTATTTTTTGATGTGCGATGAACAAAAACAGACTCAGTGTGCAAAGGCCTTAAGAGTCATAAGAGTGACTATTCTGGTCGTAGGTTTTACTTCGTCAACAGTTATCTCCTCAATGGTAGTTGACAACTATAGAATTCTGGTGATAATCATATCTAACAACCCAAATCTTTTCGGATGGAGGTCCCTAAAAATAAAATATTATCACATAGGGGTCTGTGACCTAATCTGCATCACTTTAGAGGTCTTTGACACAAAAAATGTTGAGAACCACTGGCTTAGTGCACCACAATGAGGCGAAGAAGATACTGCACCAGAAAACGAGAAAGTGACCACAGGTGAGATTTAAGCTTCATAAGAAGTGTTTTCAAACACATGGAGTTGTACAAATCCACTGCACACTATTGTCTCAGCGCCAAAACAGCAGACAGACATAGTTAGCGACTAACTTAGCCAAAGAGTAAGATATTTCCCAAGTTGGGGAGATTGAATATTGGACTTACATTCATCAGGTGGACAGACAGACACATGACTCCAAATGAAAACTAATGCTCTGTAACTGCTGGATGTACAAATAAGTAATTGTTTGTTGACAAATTCAACATACTGATCCAAAAGGTGATGATGTGTAAATATTGTATTTGCAACTTGTTTCTGCTGCCTCCAAGTGGCATAAAAAGAAATCAGTCATTGCAGGTTTAAATACCCAGAACACTCACAGTTAAAAGAGGATGGAGAGCCTCTGGAGCGGCTGAATTCCTCCCCGTACAGAACAGCCATGCTGGGCTGGCTTGTTCGTCTGCCTGGGTGATAGGATGGCGGTATCCCTCCGTACACCCCTCCGCCCCCACCACTGCCTCCCCCAGCCATTCGCTCCTTGGTCTTCAGGGCTTGACTTCTCTCCTGGCGGAGCCGCTCCTCATCCCGGAGGAGACACACCAGTTGGCGTGCTTTTTCTCTCACGTTGGCCCCCTGATCTCTGCCATCACGGTCCACATACTGGAAGTCTCGTAGCGTCTGAACCACACATAGACAAAAAAGATTTTCATGATCAACTTGAACTTTAAGAAAAAAAGTACTACTCAAGTTGTGGTTAAAAAGTTGCAGGAAAACATCAGTAATCTGGTCCTCAGGAACATGACAGTTCGTTTAGAAATTATAACAGACATTCAGAGTAT